ATGTATTGTCATTATTTTCAGCTCTCCTACCCCATTACCAGGTTCACAATCCACAGCATCTCCAGGCGGACCTTGCAGTGCCCCCTGTCTGAAAGCTTACAACGCAGCTGTCAGTCAAGGCAGATAATACTGAGCTAAATAGACTAATGGTCTGACATGGTACAAGGCAGCTTCCTATGTTCCTAATTGTCCCACTTCCTTCAAAACCATCCCACTCTGGGCACTGGGCAAACTGTTCTGCCTCCCTAACACGTTGCTACGTGGGAGATTTTGGAAGCAGAAACTGAGCTCCCCTACCAAAAAAAGATGATGCTTCAAGGTGCTGTTCACCTAAATAGGATATTCTTGTCTTCTAATATTCCCCGGCATACAGTCATTACCTTGGAAGCCAAACGGAATCCGTTCCGGAAGTCTATTTGACTTCCAAAACATTCGAAAACTGAAGCGCGGCTTCCAATTGGCTGCAGGAAGCTCCTGCAGCCAATCAGAAGCCACGGAAGCCGTTGGATGTTTGGCTTCCAAAAAGTTCGTAAACCAGAACACTTGCTTCCGGCTTTGCGATGTTTGGGAGCCAAAACATTTGAGAACTAAGCTGTTCGAAAATCAAGGTACGACTGTATTAGGATATTGAAGTCACAAAGGCCCAAAGTATGTGATGGTTTTTAGTTTCCCCTTACGGGTCTTTTCTTTATTTCAAAGCAGCAGCTGAGGTGGGTGTTCAGGTCTAGGACTGTGGGGTGTGTGTGGGGGGGGAGTTTAACTCTTTCTGCATTGCAGTCTTGACAAAAATCCCCCTCTTGAAGCTGTCATTTAGCATTGGAGAAGAGGTACCATTGTCATCAGGACGTCATGCCGTTACTCCTGAACATATCCTAACTTTATTCACTGAACATTACAGGGAGTTTAATTGATTTTTTTGTTTTGTTTTACATTGGAGACATGAGCCGAGAAAGGATTGTCACTTTTTGGCATACTAAAGGCCTGTAGAGGCAAGCATTTGGCATAATAGCTGGGCAATGTTGAAAAGCTGGTGTATCATGGTTCCCACTTTGCGACAAACTGAAAATACACAGTTGCCAAAAGGCAGAAATTCAGCATGCACCTCCCTTACCACCCATATATACTTCCCAGCTTAAAAAAGCAGTAATGCTACACAACTACCTGTCCTCAGATACCACAATGTAGAAAAGAATGCAGTTTAGAAGATCGGAAGGAGGGGAACATGAAATTAATAGGTACATAACCACAGCAGGATGAATAAAACCTGTCTGGCATAGAGCATTTAAATGGAGTGGGTTATGGAAATATGAAGTTAAACTGCACGACAACTTTTGTTGCTTCTTAGAATGTGTGCCATTTACAGTATTTTTCAAAGCCCTGGCTCCTAAAATGGTTGCCTAAAGGCATGGCAGAAGAAGGCTCTTTTTAAAGTAGAAACTATGGGAGTTTATATCCGAAAATGCCGAGCATCTCTGCAAAAATAAACTTTTCAGATGCCACATCTGTTTTCTCTCAACCCTGACAGCGATGCGGTCATAAAGCAACATCTTGCCCTCAGAAATGTTCAGCACTTTAGAGCCAGAAGCCTGACTATGGTTCAGAAGTGTAAGGAAATTATCATAGTGACATAAGTAAACTTTGCAAAATCTGCACCCTGACCCCCCAAAAGCTTTTTTTAGAGCTAATTTTTTCTCCAGTTCCTTTCAGGTTTTAAAGCCCTCAAACAAATTGATAGCAGAATTATTAAAGAATTCTGATGCAAATAAATAAAAATATATGTGCAGCGAAACTATGTGATTTATTGGAGCCTCCTCCATATGTATATTTACTTAGAAGCAAGTACCCATGAATTCTGTCTTGAGCCCAAAATGTGGCTCCATATGACACTATCATGAAGATTTGACTGTGAAAATTGGAACAATTGATTTTTTAAATAAACATCCTAATCAAGTAGTTAGGTAACTTTCCCTATGGATTTCTGGACCCAGAGTCCAAAAAGCATTATGGTACTTTAAGAATTGGAAGCATTCAGCTGAACTAAGACCAATAACAAGAGAGGATTGACAACTTGGATAGCAGGAATTCAGTATGTCACGTTGTTTGCAGTATGTCACATCACGTTGCATTTGTTTTGCACCAAAAAGGTCTTTAAAAGCATAACTGTGAAAGCTCACATATTCAGTTAAGGGTTAGAGAAACAGCATGTAAGTAGTTCTCTCTGCACTGCCAAAAGCAATAAAAATAGAGTAACTGAAGATACATACTTTAATATATCTGAAAAACCACTTTAACTATAAGCAACTTCAACAATATTTTTAAAGCAATTAAATTCTAGTGAGTATGCTGCAACTTTGTAAGAATGCAAGCTCACATGCTCGTTCCCAAATTTCTTTCTTGAAAAAAGCAACAGAATTAAAGCTTGCCCTTGAAGATGCTTAGGAATTCAATTTTTATATATCAAGGTAAAAATATTTCCCTGCCTATGTCTAAACCACATTTCACCACCCCACCCCACCCAATGAAACCATCAGGCTTAATAGCTAGGCTATTTTACTAAGCAAACTAGTGAAAGATTAAGGAACAGAAGTAGGAATGTATGCTGGCTTCAGTCAAGTAGGTTATCATAAAAATGCCTTAAGCAGCCATCCTTTTTTTGCTCATACGTCTTTCCTCTCAACTAAGTGCATCCCCAGATTCTGCATCAATTAAGCAACAAATGGGCAGCCTCTGTAGGCAACCAGCCAATGATGGGCAAAGCCAGAGGCAAAAGTCTTAATAATTTTTCTGCCTGTTGTAAGAACTGTAATTTATTTTTATTTTATTTGTTAAATCTGTATACCGCCCTTCATGCATAAATCTTGAGGTGGTTTACAACACAAAAATACAATATAAAAACACAAAATACATAATAAAAACAATAACCAACCAACCAACCCCCCTTCCCTTCCCTTGAACACATTCAAAAGGGTATAGGATGTTAACCAGCCAAATAGGGTGAAGGTATTACAGTGGTACCTCGGGTTAAGTACTTAATTCGTTCCGGAGGCCCATTCTTAACCTGAAACTGTTCTTAACCTGAAGCACCACTTTAGCTAATGGGGCCTCCTGCTGCCGCCATGCTGCTGGAGCACGATTTCTGTTCTCATCCTGAAGCAAATTTCTTAACCTGAGGTCCTATTTCTGGGTTAGCAGAGTCTGTAACATGAAGCATATGTGTCAGGGAACTGACATCAGAGCGAGAGGCGAAGGGGAGGCTCCCAGATGATGCTGGCGAAGGACCCAGCACCAGGGGGAGAAGCAGCTCAGTAGAGGGGGAAGGAAATCAGCACAACACCAGGGATAAAGGGGGGCAGATGGGGGAAGCGGAGAGAGAGCTCCAGGACTCTTCACTGGACATCAGTGAGGAGAGCACAGGTCCTCCACTACCCACACCCTCCCTGCGCAGAAGACTCCCGCGCAGTGAGAGGAGGAGGAGACTGGGAGTCAAACAGCTTTTATGCTGGAAGAGGTTTAAGAAACGCCCACTGACAGATTCTGCTAGCGACTGAGGCAGCCACGCTGAGATGGGCTGTGCAGTCAGAACGGTTTAACAAGGCAATTTAGCCTAGAGAGGCGGCAGTTTACGCACGAGTAACTCATACCCATTATAATGTGTGACCTGAAGCGTATGTAAGCCGAGGTACCACTGTATTGTATACGCAGCTAATCAAGATGTACAAAAAACTGTCGTGGGATGTTGGGTGGGAAGTTCAAAAGAATTACTGTAAGTGTATATGAATGGAAAATGATATGAGTGTATAACTGAAAACCTATAAATAAAATGTTTTTTTTTAAGGATGTTAATCAGCCAAAGGCCTGGTTGCTGGGAGGGGTAGCTCAGTTGGCAGAGCATGAGCCTCTTAATCTCGGTTGTAGGTTCGAGCCCCACATTAGGCAAAAGATTCCTGCACTGCAGGGGGTTGTACTAGATGACCCCTGTGACCTCTTCCAACTTTACAATTCTATGGTTCTACGATTCTATGAAGAGGAACGTTTTCGCCTGGCTGCTAAAGGTGTATAATGAAGGCACTGGGAGAGCACTCCACAAATGAGGAGCCCCTGCGGAAAATATGCTGTGCTCTAGATGCTATAAGGGTTTCAATTGTACTTTTACAGACATGCTGTGGACCATCAGAATAAAGGTAGCAGGTCACTGGTGGTCTGTGGACCACAGTCTGGAAACCCTTGTGCTACAGCATTTCCTATTAAATAAAACATGACATTTCTTTGTAACAGAAACACATTTTATTAATCTATGACCTACCTCTGAACTGGCCCTGATTTTCTGCTAAAATCTACATGTCTCTTCCTTGGTGATCATCCACAGATTTTGCTCTTTCAACCAGGACACCCCAAAAATAGAAACAATACTTCACAATGCATTTCCCTCATAACTGAACTTCCTGTCTTCTCCCACAAATGAGAGTACTTTTTTCTAAAAAGAAATGCAGCACATATTTCTATAGTATTAGACTAGAACAATACTTTGCAGTAAAATGTTATGTACTAGGGAATCTGAGCAATCATTTTACTTTTCTCTCCATCACAGTCTTTAAGGGCCAGCTCTTCTATCGGAAACAGTGCTCCAAATATGAAACATATAAAATGGTGTGGTGACTTTTTCATTGGCACAAAAGAGTGCACCATTTATGCAGTCTGATCCTATGTGTGTTTAACTTGGAAGCAAATCACGCTTTCAAGTCACTTGCCCTGCAGGTAAATATTCCTAGGACTGAAATACAAATACACAATTTTCTTGGTCAGTCACAAATGCTTACAAAGCAAACAAAACCATGTTTGTGTTAGGAAAGTTTTGTATAAACCAAGTAATATTATCTCATTTGATGTCCCCTGCAAGATCAGACACAAATAGTTTTTGCTTTAACATATATCCTTATGATTATCATGATTTGGTGTGTGACATCTCCAGCTTTAAATAACCAAAGCAAACATTCAGGAAGTAACATGAAACTTAAATTTATTCTTGTTAGACATCCAAAATTATTGTTATAAACAACAAGATACATTAAGGATCTTTACATTCCTTAGGTTTATAAATACTCTGCAAATACATGTATATACATTATTTACAGGTTTGTTTGTACAGCTATTTGTCTACATATACAGAATACTGGAGGTAATTTAGAGAAAAATATCAGATTTGTTTGACTTGGTAAAATGAAGTCAGATGAAAAGAAAACGATCTTACATACATATGAAAACTGTTTCTTGGGAATCAGATACCATAAGATACATTGGTTAATGGCAGTTGCCATTTTGGCCAAGTAGCTTTTCAAAAATATTGTTGATATATTGGAAATTTCGAGTCAGTCCTTAGAATAGGGGATGGCAACTGATGGCCCATCATCCTTAACCCAGTTTTGCACAGCGTATATTTCATCTAGCGTGCTGAGACCTCAAACAGGCTCCTTGGTGTGTTGCCACTTTGTGGCACCTGGAAGCAGTGCATAAAGAGCTGCTTCAAAACCTGGCAGGTACCCCACACCATGGAGGCCTCTGCAACAGCACAGAGGTCAACGCTGTTTTCAGAATGCACACCTTGCTGTAAAATACTCCCAAAGCACCTGTTTTTTTAGGCACTCACCCCCAGTCCAATAGTTGCAAACCTTGATTTATTAATGGAACTTTTGGACCAGTTGATAGCAGCTAATAATTTGAAATTACAATTACCATCACCATAAAAAATTGCCAGCCTGATCTAGTAACAATTGGTGTAGTGGGGCACCATTGCTCACCTGGCTTCCCAGCATAGCAGGTCTCTGGTGCTTTCCAAGAGGAAGAGGGGAGGGGAGAGTTGCAGGTAGCTTGGTCCAGTGCAGCATGTGATAGTGGAATCAATATGACATTCCCCCTCCCACGTACTGGGCCAGGCTCCCTGTGCCTCCCCCTCTCTTCTCAGCAAGCCAGTGGCCTGCTGTGTTGGGTAGCTAGAAAAGCAACATTGCCCCACAAGTGCCACCTCTGCTGCTACTGGCCTGATCTAGGGCTTCCCCACGCATGTAGAAATTCCAGTGTATGTACAGTGTATGTGCTTGCTTGCTTGCTTGCTTGCTTGCTTGCTTACTTACTACAGTGTCAGTATGCATCAGTAAGAAATGGTGGGGTGTCCCTGTTGTTTCAGTGCACTGGGCAGTTTAGTTTGAGCTTTATGCCAGGGCAATATCTCTTTATACCCAACAATGAAAGTTACTAATCTAGGGGAAAATCTAGATTATTTGGGGGTTTGATATTGGATAAATATATAAAAACAAGAAGCTAATGAATCTGCAGGGGCAGACAAAGTAAAGTGAGACAATGTTCATACTACATATTCAGTCTTGGCCTGCAACAGGGTTTCTAACTTGACCTCTTACATGCATTGATTGATACTGTCAATCCGTGTACTGACATTTTGAACGTAGGCATACTATCACAGAAGTTGGTCAAGCTTATCCTTTTCCTGATTAAGACCAAATCTGAAAAAAATTCTAATTAATGTTCCCAAGTGATCTGTTTAGTTTTTAAACTCTATAGTCATTTAAAAATGGCCAACATACACTGATCATTACTGAAAAAACAAAACAAAATGGCAAATACGTTCTAACTGCTTGTCAGCTTACCTGTCACAAAAGACCGACATTTTAATTTTCTCTCTGTATTTGAACCACATTGGAAATCTATACAAATGCTTAAGTAGCTACTCCACATGCAACAACCAAGTTGAGTTATAACATGATTGCAGCCAAAATCAAAAGCATCTAGCAGAAAATGGTGATGCATTTGCATATTCCAAAGTGGAATCTTAGCTTTTGGTCAACTAACCCTAAAAGACAAGCATTATGCAGCACTTATGGTGACCTCATACGGCATTGTACAATTACTCAACAATTCTGTATGTGCTTAACTTAGACTTTTACTGGTTCCTTATGTGACTATAGATAGCATTGGTTAATTTAATGTGCTTGTGCCTATTTGCCAATTCACATTTTTACCTCGCTTCATGTACCTACAGAATTAGTGCAAAGATTGTTCAGATTTGATGTCAGCTTCTAATCACACACATAAATATGACAACTAAAACTCTCAGGGTGATAAGCGGTTTGGTGAGCTATTTGCTTCCCCACCTGTAGAAAGTTTGAGAGTTGTCAGCTTACGCGGAGGGTGCTGAGGACTCTTACGAAGGTTATCATCCATCTGCAGAAACAACATATATAGCAATTCATATATCTAAAGAAGATATCTATAACAAAATCTTCACAAAGATTCAGAAATGTGCTCTACAAAGCTGTTTTCTAGATATGCACTAGTGCAGTCTAACTGAGATCAAGGAGACCAGACCAATGTGAATGTTCAATAGAACTCCTCATGGATGTGATTCATCATTCCTTGATATTTTAGCTTTCATACTGCACTTAGCAAGCCTAATTCTCACTTATCCATAAATGTATTTATCATATTGTGTACTACTTGACCTATCATTGCTCACCTGGCTTCCCAGCATAGCAGGTCTCTGGTGCTTTCCAAGAGGGAGAGGGGAGGGGTGAGTTGCAGGCGGCTTGGTCCAGTGCAGCATATAAGCGACTTGTGTACTGATGTCTAGCTCACTTTTGAAGAAAATGAATTTTCTAAGGTATGCAATATAATATGCATACCCTGAAACAAGTATTTCACAGTATGTAATTGCTAAAATTACTCTGAAGATTACATGACAGTGACTAGGAAGAGGGGCCCTGATTTTAAAGCAAATGGAACCTAATGGGGAGAAATGCAGAATTATCCTTCATCCAATGCTTACCCTGTCTGCAACCCTGCTCCTCAAATGCTTTCCTTCAAGCTAAGCCAAGGGCAACTTCAGCATCACAGCTTGGCAGAGGGAGAAAGCACTTGGGTTGACAAGCTATCGGAAAGCTGGGCAGGTTTTATTCTCTTCACTCATGTGTCCCTTTTCTGACTTCCATCCTCTCTTTCAACTTGATTAGACACAAATGGTCCAAACACATTGAACTGCCATGGTCATGCCTAATTTGGTCCCTAGTTATCAACAAGAAGAAGATCAGAAAAATACAAAAAGACAGAAACAAAAATGACCTTTTCAATTAAGTTGGATTCTTTGTTTACAAGCTGTGTGAGTTTCTGTAGATTTGCATCAACTGTGTCTTGACCTGCTGGAGTGGCACCTAAATAAGCAATGCACACAGAAACAGAAAGTTAGGAGGGACTGAAACTACATTTAGAAAGCATTTCCTTATTTTCATCAGGGAAAAGAACATAAGAAGATGCTGGATCAGGTCAATGGCCCATCTAGTCCAGCAACCTGTTCTTACAGTGGCCAACCAAGTGCCCATGGGTAAGCCTGAAAAATCAATTTCACCTCCCCACCACGAACCAAATCCTCTGCTACCTCCATTCCACAACAGAGAAAATTTAAAATGGTAAGACTTCCAGAGCCGTACAGATTGAGTGCAAATATAGGTATACCTCTTATGAAAATATAACACATGCTGAAAGAGAAGCATATGGCTTACCTGATAAGTTTGATCTGAAGTAGCAAATCAGAATGTCATCACAGAAGTGACATAAATTGGGAAGCTGCTTCAAATGATCTTGTAGCTGGGTTTTGGGGAATGGTACTTTATAAAGAGGAGCAAGAAAACCAAACACAAAGGCATCAAGAGTTGTAGGCCTAGGGGTAACAAACATGGGATACGGATATCTCAAACTCTGTAAGACACTTTCTAAACAGAGAAAAATATCAAGCAAAGTGTAGCTCGTATTTAGCAAAATAACATGAGTGCTAATGTGGAATTAAACCCATGATGGAAGATTAAAAACATGTTTGACTCAACATATGGTATAGTCTCTTATTTTCACAACAGTTTAGTAAGATTGTGTTTTGTCATAAAATATATCCATTAATGGGATAAAAGAGACAGATATTCATGGCATACCATTTTACTAGACAATGAGCAAGATTCAACTGCCTGCAGGCTGCACATATAATTACAAAACAGCAGCTGCTGTCATGTCCCAAGTCTGTTTAGAGACATTAATGTTGAACACTGTCATAGTTTCAGCTGCTCCCTTGCTACAGATATACAAGAGCTGATAAATGGAATATTTGGTATCACATGCCATCAACAAAACTCAGATTTGGTTCACAGATTACTCCAACATCTGCATTGGGATAGATTTTTATTTATTTTTTGCTTATTTGAAGCATTTGTACCCCATTCTTCTGCCAAATAGTTCCATGCTGTTCCAGCAACATTTTGATGAAAAAACTACACAGGCAGGACAAATCACGTAATTTTATCCTGTGCCAAACATTACTGATTGAGCCTCACTTGAAGTGGCTTCCACGACCACCACTGTAGCAATTAAAAAAAAAGAATGTAAGCCGAGTTCTTAGAAGGAAAACAGTGTTTGGCATGAAAGGGCAGAATCGCAACAACTGAAGTGCAGGTGGTACACAGACTGACACAATTTGAAAATGGGCATCCTGTGGAACAGGAAGGTTTGCGTGGACAGGCGGAGTCCCCAGATCCTGCGCGGTCCCCCCGTCATGTGGAATAACGACTCAAGACAATGTGCTATGGGATTAAATTGGCCACAACTTTATTAAATTTCAAATGTGGGTAGACCTTGGCTCAGGCATTGGGCGTTCTCCCTCCCCAGCCGGGGACCTAGGGAGCATCAGGGTTATCCAGTGTGTGTGTGTGGGATGGGCCGGCTCTGGAGAACATATGTTCAAGCAGATATAGCCGCCCCCGTTACGCCGCCGCAGGGGAGAGCAATGACGACCTTTTGGCGTATGGTCAAAGCCTCCCTTCAGAAACCCCATTAACGGGGAACCCTGGTATCGCCGCCGCAAAGAGGAAGATGGACTAAAGGATTCCGCCCAAGGCCTGATACCGCCAAAGTTGTGACGTTTTGCTACGGGAAAGGCAAAACCTGCCAATGCAGGGAAATTCCTTTCCGGCCCTTTAACAGCGACCTTAACGTAGCAGCGCCAGCATACCTGTGAAGAAAAGTTAACCTGCAAAACCTGTGAAGAAAAGTTAACCTGCAAAATAAGACATTAAATGAGGGTGGGTAGGGTGGGAGAAGCTCTGGAGCCAAGTGAGGATTCCCAGGTAAGATCCTCCCTCTATTGTGTGGGCAGGTAATCCCTCCCCTACCTGGCCTGGTCTCCTTGGCAACGCTTCCCCCAGGTGGGATTGGACAACTGACTGAGATAGGCGGAGACCTCCAGGTATCCCACCTGAGGGAAGGCAAGGCCAAGCCTATGCTGTTGGAGCCGCTCCAGATCTAGGGGCTGCACGCGTCCACGCAAAGGGCGCCCCCTGGTTTTAAGCGGGGAGCGGTCATTGCTGCAGTACAGTATATCCAATGAGGATAAGACTCTCCCCAAAACAATGTGCCAATGTGCTCTTAGAAATAAAAAATCTGTAAATAGGGCAGGCATGGTCTGGTTTTCACTGTCCAAGTTTTTTAAAACAACAACAACAACAGTCACCAACTGTGCAGGGAACAGATCAAATGGAACGAAGACATACTATGTCTAGGGCAGTTAAGTTAGGTTGTTCAGCTGCAACCTATCTATTCCTCTGTAGGGTCAAGCTGCAAAAGTCCTGATTCTTCAAGGCTGCAACAGAGGCAAGCTTTGCACAGGACTGATTGGCTGGCACCTGCGTATCTGCCACTATACCACACGCAACATGGGGGGGGGCGGGGAATGCACTTCAAATGGATTTTTTTAAAAAAAATAAAGCAACAAATGATAGATAAACAAACAGGGATGTGCTTTTAATTAAAAAGAAAAGAGAACAGAGATCACACTGCCTGCCTGAGGCACAAGGGAAGACTGATGGCTGATGGCTGAGCCAGCAATCAATTCCCTAGCATGCAAATGTGTCATTTCACTTGCAAAGCCAGAAGCAAGCCAAGTTCACCACTGGTGAGCTCTTGTTCATATTTTTATTTGCCTCTAGTACATTTAATTGGTCACCCTGTGGTTTGACAAGCACTAGAAGAATGACATTTGATTTTAAAACTTGAATACATACCAAAAATCTACGTTTCGTTCACAAGGAAAAAGAAAACCGGAAAGCATACACAAGTATTTTGGCATTAATAGTACCACACCGCATATGTTGCAAACACTGTAAACATTCTGTACTCACATGTTTCCAAAGAAAAATGGAGACGTCCCCAGTCTGTTTGATAGAAGATTCAGGCATTCCTTGGCATCTCTGTAGATCTAAAACAAACAAACAAACAAACAAACAAACATCAAAGTTTATTTGCATACCACCTTTTCTAGGAGCTCATCTCAAATTAATTTAGTACATGGATGATGGATAGCTAAGAATCTCTGTGGCACAACCCAGGTTAAAAAAGGCCCAAGCATACTACTTCAATTTAGATATGCATACACATAACCCCCAAATAATGAGTTCTAGCCAACAAAGTTTTATTCAAAGTAGATCCACTGAAAATTAATGGACCCAAATTAATATTGTCCATTATAGTCATACCTTGGATCCTGAACGCCCTGGAACTTGGACATTTTGGCTCCCGAATGCCGCAAACCCAGAAGTGATTGTTCCAGTTTGTGAACGTTCTTTTGAAACCCAAATGTCCGGCGGGGCTTCCGCAGCTTCTGATTGGTTGCAGGAGCTTCCTGCAGCCAATTAGAAGCCACAATTTGGTTTCTGAACATTTTGGAAGTCAAATGGACTTCCAGAACAGATTCCGTACGACTTCCAAGGTACAACTGTAATTTCAATGGGAGTACTCTGAGTAAAATGTGGCTATAACCCAATATTTGAGAAATTGTTATGTGTCCTTGGGCACACATATACATAACCTGCCTGTGTCCACTCCTTTGTATGCTGGCTTATTTTTTTACTTGTTTGCAAGAGTGTCTCCCTCCAACCACCAGCATGTTCGCTATGTGACCGTTATTCCTGTACTGTGGGAAAATGATTGCTTGTACATGAGAGCATGAGCAAAGTTCTTATTGTTACAGGGTGATTTCATAGCTAGAAGCATCCTTGGAGCATGAACAGCGCGTGAACAGCTCGTGCTGTCCTATATGATTGGCTAACGTGGCATGGCCTGATGCTCGCATAGTCTAGTGCGAAGGTTCTTATCTGCTTGCTAGAACAAATTGCTTGGCTTGTATTTTTGTATCTTTCTATTTCACACAATAAAAGCTGTGCTGCATTAGCCCTAGAGCAGCCATATTTCGGAACCTATCATGGTGTGAGACTGATTTTCCTCTGAATGCCGAGCTGCAACTCGACACTGTACCCTGCTGGAATATGAGGGTCTTATGTTTGCTATCCATGCCTTGATCATCTTGTGGATTAGTTACTGCAATCTGCAATATGTGAGCTTGTCTTTGAAAACTGTTCAAAAGCTTCAGCTAGTAACAAAATGTCTATTTATTTATTATGCTACCCTTCATTGGTTAAGATCCAGAGTACTTTACAAAATACAGTTAAAACAATGTATTCAATTTAAAAAAACTTCATTATAACATAAAACTAATATTCAATCCATCAGAGCACTACAGCAGAAGAGGGCAGAATCAGTCCACCTGGCATAAACCACACCAGTCTCTCCCCAAAACATGAGTGAAGAGATGCCAGGCAGAAAGAATGTAAAACACTAGTTCTTTCCATCTGCATGGGTTGACAAATTTGTTAACCGGAACAATAACATCAGGCATGGGAAATTTTAGGTGGCCACTAAAATGAAGTAGAATCAGGAAAGCCCTCTCCCGAAACTTCTTTTGAATCACTGGTTGATCAAGGAAGTTGTTGGACCAGTAAACTTCACTGATCCTTCCAACATTACCTTGAAGAAATCTATTGTCTCAAAAAGTATTTAAAAAAGCACCATCATATTTAGCATCCAATTCTAGTACATCTGCCTCGATTATAGGCCTAAATTACTCATAAAGCAAAATATACCTGTGCTTCCACTTCAGTGAGACTGTAGAGCGGAGGCCCTCCCTTTGTCAGCAAGATCCTATTAAGGGCTTCCCCAGACATCTTTCTAGGCAGATACCAACTCAATGGAAATGGGATCCTTGAAGCAAACCATGGTTTTGTCACATTGTAGTAATTATCAGCTTCAACCCAGAAAGTGTGCAGCTATATCATGATAACAAAGAATGTTAACATTCGATAATGAACATCAGCCTCCCTGTTACTAAAAAAAACCCAAACCTGTTTTTGTTTATCAATAGATTTTGGGGGATCTAACAAGCCTGTCTCAGTGTTCAAGAACCAAGTTATTTTCTCAGCAGAGTGGAAATAAAGTTAAGACTATTACAGATATGCAAACACATTTTTAATAATTAATTAATAATACGAATAGGACAGATCTCAATAAGAGTGCATGTCTCTACACTTTTACATGAAAATGAGTCCCAATGAACTCAATGGGGCCTTCTGAGTAGACATGAATAGGACTGCACTATAGAGGTAATTAGAAAAGTCAAAGTATACCAAGCATATTATATTTAAAGAAGCAATTTATATTCAATTTAAATTATTCCTACCATGTCAGCAGTGTTTCAGAACAGTGAAAAGTAACTAGTTTAAATAACACACATACTTGCTATGAGTTGCAAGTCTCCTCTATCCATTGCCTGAACTTCTGTGACATTACTGGCCTAGTCCTTACATATAGCAGACTGAAAACTTCACATAAAAACCTAGCACATTATGGATAAGTCAAGGTCTAAGAAAGTCTGTGGCTGTTCTTCTCCTGCCATTTTGTATCTAGTGCAAGATCTACCCAGAAATGGTAATGAGCTATTGTATACTGCATCTGCTCGATTAGTTTAACTTTGTTTTCAGGTTGTTGTGCTTTTTATATGAGCAACAGAAGCCTATCACATACAACTTTCATTAAAACCACACTAGAACTCATCTTATCTATTTCTAGTTTTCTCTGTGGAAAGAATTTCAGTATAGGAAAAATGTAGTTATGTAAGTCTTCATCTACAGAGTGAAGAAATAAAACCCAGACAGATGTTTACCACCATGTCTACTGTTTGTGATAACAAAGCCACAGAGCAGGGGTGGAGAATCTGTGGCCTTCCTGATGATGTTGCACTCCAACTCCTCTCAGTCCCAGCCAGCATAGCCAATAGTCAGGGATGATGGGACTGGGAGTCCAACAATGTCTGGAAGGCCCACACAGCTGTCCAAACTCTTGCTTTCAGATTACTGAACTAACCCTATTGTCACTGAGCTCTTTAATATGAATGCTGATTTTAAAGATATCTGATTTTAATGGTGATTACTGACTCCTAAGACATCTCATGGGAACACACAAGAAGTTCAAGACACATTAATTTCAATGAGCTGAATAAGCATATTAATGACTTTGGTGGGTGGCACTGCAAAACTTTGGTCACAAACAACAACTGTATCTTACCACAGCAGGAAGTAATTTTTCTTCGAGTAGTGCAATGTACGCCAGTGTGTCTGCTCCTTCTTTTGTAGACAACTCATAATCAGCATTATATTTCTGCCAGTGAAAAAGGCAATACATTAATGCAGCAAGCAGTCATATGAAACTTTCCAAAGAGAAAATGAAGCCAACAATTGAAGGTTCCTGTAAAAAGTGAATTATATATTGTTTCAAAAAACAGAAAAGCAATAAACAATAACATTAAACTCTTAACTTTTCCTCCAAGTTAATGGTTTCAATGTTTAACAATAGTGTTGACTGCTGAAGTTACAGAGGCACTTAATTCTAAGATCAATCTGCCTGAAGTCAAACTAATGGGATATAGTTTAACAAAATCAACTTGCACTTTAGTTAAGGTGTGCATGACCTTTCTATTTAAACTGCTTTTAGTCATGGTGAATCCTGAAAAATGGGAGTTTAAGAATGCATCTATATTCCCCTAAAATATAAAATTTACTTGTGCTCCTGTTTGGCTCTTTTATTGTACAAACAGAATCTGAAAGAGTTGGGAATTTATGAGCTACAATCCTGATCTCCTAGTGAATATATAGACAAGAGATCTTGTGGAATGGCACTCTGTAGGATCCAAGGAGAACCATTTCCTCCCTGTCCCTGATGTTGGAGCATCAGTCAAGATGCAGCAATGCCTGAAAGCTCTATCAGCCAAGCATTTCACCTTACATAGAAGCCTTTCTGTGCATTGCATAGGGCGCTCCATAGGACAATCCAGTAGTCAGTTTATCTCCTGATCTTGCCTATGCAGGGTGCTGCCAACAGAAGCTGAAATTTTGCCATATTCAGGGCGACAGGACAAGTAGCCTGTGGGATTGTTTTGTAGAAAGCATTAGCTCCCGCCTGGCTATGATAGAGGGTACGGTCACTGCTGTGGCTTGTGTGGCACAACAAAGTTCTGCTTCGCTGAGGTGGGGATCCACTTTACAGGTTGATTTCCATGCACTCACATATGCTAGAAGAGAATGATTGCAGTGAGTTTTATTTATTATTTTATTTCACACTATTTATATACTGCTCGATTGTAAAAAAAAACAAAAAACAAAACAAAAAAAAACCCTCAAAGAGTTCAAGTAGTATTGAGTTCAGTAGTTGGCGGAGTCAATTGACTATAGATTTCTTGGGACACATTTTGTTTGTTCTCATACCTTAACAGGAGAGGGAGAGGTGGCAGTCAAACCCTAGCAAAGGTGTCCTCTCTCCAGAATGTTCCTTAGTCTTTGGAAACAGTTTTAAGAATTCTGCCTCAATATCCTGATTTTTCAGCTGTCATTTCCTTGATTTTCCAGTCTTCAATGAAACTTCCAGGCTAGCCAGCAACTGAATTTCTAATGTTAAAGTTAAGGAAGGGGAAAAAATTCCTTAATCAAGTGAAAGACACATTTTATTCCCTTTTTGTAAATAAAGAAGCAAACAAAAGCACAAGTAATTTGCTCTCAAATCTCACAAAGCTTTTGAAATGAAAGTTAGAGATCGCTAATCTTTAAAGATTTAACTTACCAGATATGAGATACTATTTATGGAAACTCACCTGCTTTCTTAAGAAGTTTAGTATTTTTGCTGGCTGAGAAATAACGGTGTCATTCAATATCAGTACTGGTACACTCCCTAAAAATAAATGATCAATCAAGATAATGCAATCAAAACAACCCTATTAGTGCTAACATAACAGGTGATTAAATCTGCTCATGTAAGAATTCTGATCAGCTCAATACCAAGGATTGGTACATATAAGCTTTCACTTTTGCCACTCATTTTTTTAAATTGCCTTATTTTGTAGCTTCAACATAAGAAGGCTAGGGGTGATCCTTCATCCTGCTGACATAGATCAGATGACGCTAAGCACTGTTACTTCATCATCCAGAATCATTCTGCTACACCCACATTTGATTCATAAAAGGCCTTTCACAATGCAACTGCACATCCTAGGTCTTTCACTGCACTAGTGCAACAAATAGCTTGGAATGTAATGCTCACTTTGAACTGACTTTCATCTGATATGATCCACTCTTGGCTTTGCACAACGGAAAGTAAGACTGGGTTCTAAGCCAGGGCTGAGGATCTTCCTATTTGTACATATGTATGTATGTATGTAACCCAGAATTGCTATGCAGGGAGGTAGGGCTGCTGCATCCCCAGATGGTGTGACGGTGGGGCAGGGTTGGTTTGGGCACACTGGCAAGAGCACTGGACTGGAACAGTCACTGTGCCCACACCACCCTGGCCACTGCCCCTTGTCCATCCCAGTACATAGCAGTGAAGCCAGATCTGTGGCACCACCCATTCCCAGTAGCTGCTTCTGATGTAACCACTGCTTAAGATGTGACCTAAAATGCAAATATATACACGTAAAATGTTAAAGCAATACCTCTTGGTGCTCTCCACAAATGATCTATAACATTCACTTTCAATGGTGCACCACAAAACCTGGCATAAGCCTGCAATGAAAGTTACAAAATAATTAAACTCAATGTTTTATTCTTCAGAATTTTGACAACCTAAATGTTTGGTAAAGAAGCTACTTATTTGATTTATAACCTGACTCATCTCAAAAGCTCAGGGTGCAGTCATATTATGCCACTACCATAATCAACATTAAATGTAACACTCAACTGTCAAAATTAATGGACAATTTACTACGGACTTCAATGGGATGTCAGTTAGCTATGGGGCCAAGAGGAGCTAAGACAGTGAAAAAAAATTGTGGCTCTCCTGGGCTTGTTGGATTTCAACTTATGCTATCTATGATGAATAGGCAATGTTGGCTGGGGCTGAAGGGAACTGGAATCCAACAACATCTTGAAGGTCACAGGTTTCTCAGCATGAATTATGGGAAAGCATTACTAGTTTTAAAATACACTGACCTAGTTCCACCCAAGGAAATCCTTTCCACCCCCGCAGCTCATGGGTAAGGTTGTTGTTGTTTAGTCGTTTAGTCGTGTCCGACTCTTTGTGACCCCATGGAGCAGAGCACGCCAGGCTCTGTACATGCAGCTATTTATCTGTAAATCTCTCTTTGTTTTAGCTGGATGTGACCACTAGCTGTTACATTCCACTACATGCACACAAACAGAGCTGGAACTGGGCTGAGATCAACCTATATTGTTAATATATGCCATAAGCCCAAGTTCACACTTCATACTCAGCAAAACCGATTTCGCTCTAGGTAGTGTGACGGCAGAAGGACCCAGTGAGGTGCAAATACAGTGGTACCTCAGGTTAAGTACTTAATTCGTTCCGGAAGTCCGTACTTAACCTGAAACTGTTCTTAACCTGACGTACCACTTTAGCTAATGGGGCCTCCTTCTGCTGCCGTGCCGCCGGAGCATGATTTCTGTTCTCATCCTGAAGCAAAGTTCTTAACCTGAAGCACTATTTCTGGGTTAGCGAAGTCTGTAACCTAAAGCGTATGTAACCTGAAGTGTATGTAACCTGAGGTACTACTGTACTTAGCACTACATGCAAACTGAGCCACTGCATATTTTTTAAAAGACATACAGTTTAGACAACTTTAAAGCAATCGGAGATATCCATGGACCATTCTCAAACTACCATTTTTAATACGTATCAGCTTGCTTTCTCTTTTAAAAAGATGTGGATGAAGATTAAGTCTGTGACAATATGCAGAAGTGACAAGTTAACATCTCAGTAGTCACAAATGCTGAACTTTACTTTTTAAAACACATATGCCTGTCTTGAAGTGTTGCTGTAAGAGTGGACTCTGAAAGGAGACGCAGCCTATATGCATTTTCTATTCATCCTACTCTTGAAGATATGTGAAACCCAAGTGCTTAAAGAAAGATTTTAAGGATTTAAATGAAATTGTCCTTTTAGACAATAAAGGTTTTCTGATGGCACATTTCTGTATTATGTTTTTGGTGCTCGATTGCACATTGTAGTGCATCCTACTTTCAAATTCCAGAGACAGCTGCATTACAGCACAATCCTATGCATTTTCACTCAGAAGTTAAGCCTCACTCTGTCCAATGGGGTGACTCACGGGTAAATGTGCAACACTGCTGCAGCCACAGTCCGCTACAGAAAGCCCATACACCTCCAGGATTAATTTTTTTACTGTGACATTAACTTTCGTGTGCTAGCACCCACACCATATCGGATCCATCCCATGAAGTGGGCTCTCTGATCCACAACATTTCATACCACAGTTAAGTGCCGGATACTGCTTATTTCCAGAATGTATACAACACTTTTGAAGGGCTCTTTAAAAAGCAGGATGGAGACTCATTTGGATATTAAAATAAAAATAAAAATGCATACATATATATAGGTGGAAGCTTTCCCCCTTCAACACTGGAAATGTTTGAGGCTTTCCTCCCCAGGTGCAATCCATTGTGGCGGCTCCTCACAAGCATCTCTCCGTCCCCCCCTCACACCCGAATCTGGGCCTTCGCCCGCCCGCGCAAACCCGTCAAACCCGCCGTTACCATGACAACGAGGCACTCCGCGTGCACGGACGGCAACCCCCAATCACCGCCCCAGCAGCTCAGCTCCATGGCGGGCGCCATATTGGACGCGGCAAACCTTTGCCCTCACGAAGCTCCGCCCACGGCCCCGCCCTTCCCCACCTCGCGGAGTGTCCGCCCTTCGGCATGGGCGGGGCGAAGAAGAGGCCCGAGCGGGATGCTCCGCCCTTTTTACGTTTTCTACGTGTTCCAGCGGCTACATCGATCGCCTCTCGCTAACTGCGCGGCCTCAGGGCTAGAGCAGGGGCGCACATACCCCTCCCTACAACGGCCTTCCTATACTTTCTTGTGGCGGTTGTGGGGCAAAGGTTGGAGAGTGCAGCTGCAGTACAGTACTCATCTTTATTTATCAGGGCAAAGCATTGGCGTTGAAAAACGAAGGTTTGGTAGTGCAAAACCAAACCCAAAAAAGCCCACCTCCATGAATTTCCTAGCTGTTGTTTGGCCAAAGGGTTAATTTCAGATTAAATAAATAAAAATAGCTGCCTTCTTACTTGCTCCATTAATGGATCCGCACCTTGCCTTACAAGTCCGTTGCAAGCAGAAAAACGCAGCGTAATCCCAACAAAGACAAATTTGGAATCCTAACCTTGTTTATTCAAAAGTAAATCTCGATCTCAGCGGGGCTTATTCGCAAATAGTTATGCAAAATTGTTATGCAACCTACACCTGACATTAAAAAAAATGCACATTACAACTATTAAGGAACTCTGGTCTCTTGTGTCTTGTCTACCCCTACCCCTAAAGTGTGGATAATAGCAGCCAGGGTCTATGCCCGTTTATTTTGGAGTAAGACCCACGGAGTTCAGTAGGGCTTCCGAATAGGATTGTGGCTTTCATTGCAACTAAGGATACAATCCTTGGTAATGCTGGTACAAAGAGACTCTTATGTTCTTAGCTCCCCCACCTCCATCCCATAAAGATATTTTTTTCTTTTGTATTTATGCCATGTGACACAGTTACTGAGAGCACCTGAGATGTGCCATGGTTTAGGGTTGCCACCTGTCCTGTATAATACAGGATTGCTCCGCATTTTAATGTAAAATGCTATGTCCTGTATTGATAGTTTTGTCCTGTATTTCAGGTCTCTCTCTGCTAAATTAGGGGTGCTCTCCAAATGCATGTTCATATATTTAAGTTCTAGGTAGCCAAGAACAGACAGATTTTATTTTTATTTATTGAATTCATATACCGCCCTATACACGGAGGTCTCAGGGCGGTTCCCCCTGAGATTTACAAATTCATGTGTGTGTGCGCGTGTGACAAATTTAAGAGGGGCATCCTGATAGGCTGCAGTAGATTGTAATGGATTGTTCTGAAGTCACTTCAGCACCAGATGAAAAAAACACCATCCACCCTACCCTGTCCTGTATTTTGCCAGAACAAAGGTGGCAACCCTACATGGTTTCTATGTTAAAATACACACCTGCGCCATTCTAAAATTTTCCCAATTGCAGCTCCCTGTAAAGAAGCATTTTAAGTGTTCATGCACCATTCCCATCTGCTGCCAGGTGCATGTATTTTGTCCCTGTATTTTGTGGTATTCATGTCTGCGAGTACAATACAGCCTCAATTGTAAAGTACTTTCACACATCCCAGAATTAGCTCAATTGGGCTGCCATAGAAACAGCAATGCACTCATCTCGAAAGCACTTTACTGGCTAGGCATTCTGAGATAACAGGTGGTGTAAACTTTATTTACATGTTATTAAAGCTGTGAGGCTTTTAATTTCATTCAAGTCTCATTATTTCATCTTTAAGAATCTAATATTCAAAAAGGTTTTGGAAACCTTTTTGAGGCACTTTGTAAGCAGATGCAAAGTTCTTTGCTGCACAACTAATTTTCAAGTCCTCTTTGTTTTCACAATGGATAGTTCACTCAGAATGAAAACTGCTATTTTTAAGAGAGAATATTTGGACAAATTAATGTTTCTTGCACCTGGAGGCAGAAGGGAAAGTATTTCAGAAGCACACATATTCCTTGTACCATATTGTATTGAGTCAGTGTTACCAACAGTTAAGGATTTTTATGGAGAGTTTATAGACTTTACAGAGAGACTTGAAATATTTTGTGGTTTCAGTAAAACCCCTTTTCCTGGAGTCGGAGATTTAGTAAGATTTATTTTTCACCTAAACCCTTGCCCACCATGGATATAGAAACTTCAGGGCTTCAGAAGTGAGACAACCAAAGAACACCCAAAAATATCCAGCTGTTTTTCACATTTCTGTTGAATTAAATAAACACATGCTTGACAATTACAAGCTAAACTTTGCATGTATCTTTGTGGATTGTTTCCAAACACAGAACTTCATATACATGTCAGGAAAAGTAACAGAAGCAACCTAAAAGACTATGGGGATTAAAAAGCAGGGGAGTCCTGTTGATCTAGTATGTCAAAACACAGGAAAGCTCAACAACAATTGATGTGATGCTACAGCAATAACAGGATAAAAAATAAGACAAATTGTTAGATGGCAATGGCCATGGTACGGGCTGAAAAATGACATATAAATACAAAATGACAACACAAAATACATAATAAAACAAGAACAAAAGCCAATAACCTCACTCCCACAAACATGTTTAATGTTCAATGTTCAATGAGCCAAAGGCCTGGTTTTAGAGATTATGTTCCCACAACATTGAAATCGAAGTACAGTGGTACCTCAGGTTAAGTACTTAATTCGTTCCGGAGGCTGTACTTAACCTGAAAGTGTTCTTAACCTGAAGCACCACTTTAGCTAATGGGGCCTCCTGCTGCTGCTGCGCTGCCGGAGCATGATTTCTGTTCTCATTCTGAAGCAAAGTTCTTAACCTGAAGCACTATTTCTGGGTTAGTGGAGTCTGTAACCTGAAGCGTATGTAACCTGAAGCGTATGTAACCTGAGGTACCACTGTATGTACTTTCTAGAGAGAAAGGACTGAAAATTTTGGGTAACTTTCATTGAATTTTTGCAGCATTAATACTCATATAGGAAAAAGTGATGCAGAAAGTCCCAAATCAGTGATTTGAGTATTGCTACCTTATCTAAGCAGTAAAGAATGCCTCTGCTAAAATCATCTTTTCCAAAACTCTGCCATGTCACTTCTCTTCCTAAGCCTCTCTGCACTTTCTCTTTGATATATTACACACCAAACTGCTACTCTACATATGTGGACTTCTTAGCTTTTTATGCCTGCCTAAGGCTGAAGTCCTATACACAGTTACCTAGAAGTAAGTCCCACTGAACTCTGTGTAGATATGTATATGGTTGCCCAGTAAATTTCTGCTTTCATGTCTGCCACACTCTTGTCCTTTATATTCTGTCTCTCCAGTAAGGCTCGTCTGCTGCCTGTCTTCCAGTTCTTCCATTGTAACTATGCTTCATTTTGGTAACCAAGCCACCCTACTTTTTTCAAAAAATACAATACAATAAGCCTTTGCCCTTGAAGATTTTAGTTGACCAACACTTTTCTGACACAAGTATTAATGTTTCCTAGTGTGGTCCAATCAGAAATTTTAAAATATATTTATGAACATTTTACAAGTATTAATGCTTACATCAGAAAAATTACAATGTAAATTAAGCTGTAGCTAGGCCTGCCTAAAGAGGAACTCCATTGCTGCTAAATTCAGTGCAACAACATCTAGCACCTTGTTTGCACAGTTACAGAACCAAGAAACGGATAATTGCTTGTAAATAGCTATCAAGAACAGTAAAGACATCCTACGTGAGTGCCTGGAGGTGGTTGGAGGGTGGATGGTTGTTAATGGATTGAGGTTGAATCCCAACAAGACAGAAGTACTGTTTCTGGGGGGCAGGCAGGTGTAGGGGACACCCTGGACCTGAATGGAGTAACTGTGCCACTAAAGGACTACGTGTTCAACCTTGGAGTCATTTAGGACTCACAGCTGTCCATGGAAGCACAGGTCAATTCTGTGTACAGGGCAGCTGTCTACCAGCTCCACCTTGTACAACAGCCCTACCTACCTGAGCCCTGTCTCACCAGAGTAATACATGCTCTGGTTTTCTCCCACTTGGACTATTGCAATGTGTTCTACCTCTGAAGGTGACAACTAATCCAGAATGCACCAGCTGGACTGGTGACTGGGAGCGGCTGCCAAAACCATACAACAGCAGTCCTAAAATATCTACTTTTGCTCCCAGTACATTTCCGAGCACAATTCAAAGTATTGGCACTGACCTTCAAAGCCCTAAATGGCCTTGGCCCTGTATACCTGAAGGAGCGTCTCAACCCCAGACACTGAGGTCCAGCTCCCAGGGCCTTCTGGCAGTTCTGTCCCTACAATAAATGAAGTAGCAAGGAATCAGGCAGAGGGCCTTCTCAGAAGTTGCACCCACCCTGTTGAATGCCCTCTCATCAGATGTCAAACAGTTAACAACTGTATGACATTTGGAAGGCATCTGAAGGCAGCCCTGTACAGGGAAGTTTTTCATGTTTGAGGTTTTATTGTGTTTTTAATATTTTGTTGAGAGCTGCCTAAAGTGGCTGGGGCAACCTAGTCAAATGGGCAGCATACAAATATAACAACAACAACAACAACAACAACAACAACAACAACAACAACATGGTAGCAGTAGAAAAGCACTGGTAAGCATATGAATGTTGGCTCACAGGCCATAGGTTTTGCAAACACTAAGAAATAAGCAACATTTGTAGTGCTTTGCAAAACTCTTTGAGCATGGTCAGAAGTGATTTTAGGATAATGTGACTGGTTTGGCCACTGGGTGTGCCAAATGTTAGAGTTGCAAATTTGAGAGCCCAAAGTGTGCCATTGGCATGATGGATGTATACAACAATCAGCTCATTAGAGGCTATCAGACAATATGCAACAGTTACCACATAACCAAATAGTAATGTGATTTGACTGTTAGTTGCTTATTTAAAATGGTGCAGGTCTCTTGCATTCAGAGTTGTAGATTCAATTCCTGGTATCTCTAGCTGAATGCTATATATGGTAATCAGTAGGGGGCTAAATGAACCAATGGCCTGACTCAATATAAAGTAGTTTCTTATGCTGTGACTTCCAACAGGATGATGCGAGTGTAAATGTTCAGGGATTGCTGCTGCATAGCTGTGAT